TTAGTTTTTCATATTACCCCAACATTTCGCTTTCCGATACTGAAAACCGCACCTTTTTAGCTGCTTCTTAGAAAAAGTTATCAAAGAAATGGCCGTGCTTCTTCTTTTTTGAAATGGATAGTACATATGAATTGTATAGAAGTGAATAACTGTAGAGTGCGTTTTGGTTCAAACGAAATCAAGAACTAACAATGTGGTGACGGCACATTGCAAAGAAAATAAAAGAGGGTTGACGTGGACAAGCAAAACTATTGCTGACTGAAAAAGAGTTTACTGTCGCGATTTTTTGAAAGAAAATTAGAGTAAACACTACTGAGATCAGGTAAATCTAATTTTCTGTTTGAACACGTCGAATAATAACATAATGCAAACGTCGTTGATTCATCATACACAGGTATGATTTCGTTTAATCAATTAGGCTGAAAAAACGCTAGTCCTACCGGTTGTGAGAGGAGTGATTAGATATAGCAGGGTCGAATGGACCTTGGTATGCTGTACTCACCCTCAAGGTTCTTCTACACCTCAATCATGGATATAATTCTTCCGTTGCAATATCGATATTACTCTGACGGAAGCATAAGATTTTCTTGAGCTTAACAGCGTAACATTCTTCAAAGATGAAAGTCATTAACAAGCATAAACAAGACTTTCACTATAGATATATATTTAACGCAACCCAAATACTACATCTTCCACTCACTATGCGCATTTAACCCGATCTTACCAACAATGTTTCTTCTTCGTCTAATTTGAGGGTTTATTATCCTACAATCATTCTTTTGAGTGTATAGGCCACATATAGGAAGTTTGGTAGATTGAGAAAAGCTTCTGCAGATCTGATACGGAACCCCTGCTAGTTTCGTGGACTTCTTACGAATCCATGCGAAGTTTGACAGATGAAAGAAATGTTCCGTGAATCTAATATGAAACCCTTGGTAGTTTCGTAGGCTTCTTACGAATCCATGCAAAGTATCGGAGAGTTAAGAGGGATACCGTATATCTGATACAAAACCGTTGGACGTTTCGTAAATCATCAAAAAGTTCAGTATATTTTATACGAAACTCTTGATAGTGTAGTATATGATCTAATGATTCAGGATGTTTTTTGCAAAACCATCCATAGTTTCGTACCATATGTACGAGGTTTCGTAGAACTTTTACGGAACTTTTTAATGATGTACGGAAGCGGGACAATCGTCACAACAATCTTGCGAACAATCGTCGCAAGAACCTTAGAATTATCTTGTAAAATCACCCCCTACTCGAATATTGTAATTTATTTGTGTTTGAAATCAATTTTTCAATGCAATTTTTTCTGATATATCCCAACCTGTTTTGAACATTCTCCTCCATGCGCTACTAGAACGACTAACCAACCCAAATTGAACAACGATCACATTCTTCAAAGATGAAAGTAATTAACAAGCATAAACAAGACTTTCACTATAGATATATATTTAACACCACTCAAATACTACATCTTTCACTCACTATGCGCATTTAACACGACCTTACCAACAATGTCTCTTCTTCGTCTAATTTGAGCCGGCCTTCCTTCATTGGAACTGACATCCATCATATGTGCCTGAAAACATATAGTTAGAGAGTTTCTAGTTAGCCGACTATCACGTTCACAGAAAATGCTGTATAATCCTAGTCACACTCAACTTCTCCCCCCACTCTCGCATCCTTAATCGTTCTCAAAAATAAAGGTGAATCAAGGTGATAAAGAATAAAAAACTTGTTGTGAATGTAAAGTACATGACGTATAAATGCAATCAAATTATCTGTCAACATTCGCAATTCGCAACTTTTTAACTGTTCTTCGCTTCAGTTTTCCATCTTTTCAACTTTTCATCGTTTCACCCTCAGTCTCAAACTACTATGTCCTTGAAGACATAAATTTCTCTCTCATTCTCACGAAAAACCTACAATATAAGAAAACTAAAATGTCTGGATATTCTCGAAAATAAAATAGACCACAAAATCCCAGAACGACAAAAAGCTTTATTTTAGCCTTCCGCACAATATACTATCCTTTATCTTACTTAGCTCATGATCTTAAAAAAATGACAGGGTAATAACAAAAGTTCCCCAAAGACCATGTCTAGGTCATCCCCAGTAAAATACGATCTATCATTGTGACATTAAATTATTTGGTGGTGGATTTTCATATTTGTCACTTATATAAACTAAAGATTGCTATAATAATTATCTTTGGCATATTAAACAGTACTGTTTAAGCTGTTTGAATTTATTTATTGTAATAATGAATTCAATAATGAACACAGAATGAGAATGCAAAGACAGATTCAAGAGAAAGCAATTTAAAGAAAACTTACATAAGAAAAATCCTAAAGTTTTTTGTACTTATCGGCAGTATAATTCTGTAGAGAAATAACGAAAAATGATCACTGCACTTTAATAGAACATGTTTAGAGAGAGCTGTAGCATAACGAATCTTGAAATATTAATTCTAATAAATATATATTTCCACCTCATAAACAATATTCAGTCAGCAGTGATCACTCTCTTTTGTCGAATATTTACAAGATATTCATGAGCATTCTGATGATTTGAGTCAGAAATTTTTGTATAATAATCTTGTTACAGACACATACACACATTCATTTTTATCATTTTTTTTTCTTTCTTCTTCTTTCTTTTTTATTTTGGTAACATACCATGGTACGTAAAAAAAGTTCAGACATAAGAATGACTTGTAACAGAAAAAACGAACAAAAAAACATTTAATTTAAAGTTTCTGCCTATCATGACCAACAACTAAAAATAGCAAAAAATGATGAAAAAGAAGATTTGAGACAGAGAACGACTAAAGTTTAAGATGTTCTTTTAAAGCCTTTTTAAAGGGTTGGAGAGAATTGATGGAAACACCAGTCAGTTACTCTGTCTATTTCAGCTTGAACTAAATACTGAATAACAGAAATGTTTTTCGATTTTTTGAACGACAGAACCACAAAAAGGTCATCAGCAAAAAAGCTATCTATCACAGACGACGAAACTGGCGCGGGAAAATCGTTTAGAAATAAAATAAAAAGTAAAGGGCCAAGGGTGGACCCTTCTGGCACCCCTGAGAGAACCGGCGACTGAGAGGAAAAACTCTCGCCAATTTTGACAAGGCCCTGTAAGATAAGATGAAAACCAGTTAAGAAGACTTCCGTTGACACCAAGTAGTTTTAACTTATTTAGTAGAAGGTCGGTCGATACACAATCGAATGCTTTTAACAGATCAAAACTTAACGCTATGCAATGCTCATTTGCAGGACTTGCCCTATTTAGGCTGTTAAAAATAAAATGAGTAACTCGTAGTAGAGCATCTAACGTTGAAGAAAACGGTCTAAACCCGAACTGGATAGCGCTTAACAACCTATTGTCGAGAAGAAAAGATAACAACTGCTTATGAATAATCTTCTCAAGAATCTTACTTACAACGCATAGAAGTGAAATTGGGCGATAATTTTCGATAAACGATGAGTCTCCTTTTTTATATACTGGTGTTATACTGGCTACTTTCTACTGAACTGGAAAAATCCCTGTTGAGATTGAAAGCTTAAATATGTGTACTAATTGATTTCCGAGAACTGGTAGGCATAACTGTATAAACTTCGACGCTAGCGGTGTTTTTCATAGCCCCTACAGCTTTCACCACCTTAGTTAGGTCAACGAGTATATCAGAAATTAATGGTCCCATTAAGTTGGGTGCTGTTCCAGAGACAGAAAAAGTATTTCGAACTGACGAGTAACAGGAATTAAAATGGTTGTTAAACATTTCACAAGTCTCTTTTAAAGATGAAGAAGTATGACTAGTTTTGCCCGTAACAAATTGGGAAATGGATAATTTTCCATTACGAAACTTATTAACAGATTGCCAAAAACGTGTTGGATCTTTAAAAAGAGAAATAATATTCTTAAAATGATTTTTCTTATCTTTCTTAACTGACTTAACCACCTCACGTCTTAAAATTTTAAAGAGAGTGTAATTTGCAGCTGTTTTGACAGACTTCCAGTGATCAAAACTCGTATTTCTTTTGCGCATTTTTAGTCGAGTATCTTTAAAAGTGTTATGTTGGCTTTTCGGAGTGCATTTACGCGCTTAAGTGGGACGTACTTCTCAATACAGGCATCGACATGTGTCTGCCAAACTCTTACACTATCAGAAGGATCAGTAGCGTTGTAAAAAGATGAAGAAATAGCTTCTAACATCGAGTGGAGTAGTGCTAAATCACATGAAGCAAAATCGCGAATATATTTGTATTTGGTTTGTGGGCGTGTGATAGAAATGTCAAATGAAAAAAATAACGTAAAATGCATAGATTTCCCGATAGGAACCTGATCGAAAACTTTTGGAGCTTTCAGAACAGAAGGATAGAGTAAATAATCTAAACAAGAATCCTTTGTTGTAGTAACGATCGTATGAGTACAAGCTAACGAAAAAACCGCTCCAAGATCGCATAGAGCTTGCTACATTGGCCTGTCAGAAGGATCAGCATTGAAATCACCTGCGATAAAAAGAATATCATAGAGAGAAGGTAGAGAGAAATGGAGAAAGGACTCAAGCTGAGTGAAATATCCGTCTCTAGATTCTTTAGGTCGATAAGAATTACAAATCATAAAGATACGGTCGTTTACTATAACCTTCACTAGTATCGATTCTGTGTTAGTGTCAGTCGCGATCAAGGAGCACTGAAAAAGATCTGAAATGTAGATGAGGACTCCTCCTCCGTGCCGATTACGATCACGTCTGAAAATAGAGTACCCAGGTAGGCAGCATTCTAAATCTGATATCTATGATGATAAAAAAGTCTCTTGCATACATATTATATGAGGTTTAGGAGATAGTATAGTTTGCTGAAGTAGCGTTAAGTTGGCAAGAATACTTTGAATGTTATGATTCAAAATAGTAAAAGAGGAAGAACGAGATAAAGTAGTTTTAGATTGCCAAACAGACGCCAATGAATTAACGTTAGCTATCACAACCAAAATGTGTGGCAAATTGCTAGAGAAAGCGTTGATAAGAGAGAGAGGAGAGAGATCATACAGAGACAAACCAGAGCTAGAACTATCGCTACTGGGTACAACAAGACTAAAGACAATTCTTTAAGTATTCGTCCAGCGAACAACTACGTTTGAAAGTACCTGAATCACTCAAATGACGTTCATCACCGGCTATCATATCACGCTTATCATAGTCAATCGATATCAGATCAACACCCATAGTGCACAGTGGGCATTTTTCGCTAGAGCAGGCGGACATTAACTTTATAAGTGGACTGAAATTATCTGAACCACTTTCTATAGGTTTTCGACGATTCTCTTTCCAATGGGATAGCTTTCCAGTTTCGGCAAAGTTTTCCAGTGGGTTTTCTAGAGACCGGATTTGTGGAAAATCCTCTGAAACTGAAAAACCATTCTATTGGATTGAGCATCGTCGATAACCTATAGAAGCAGTTTTTTCAGACCTTCCACGGTTTCTCTCTTGAATTTTGAATTTTCAGCGGAAAGTTCTTCGTGTGAATCCCAAATCTAAGAAATTTATAGAATTCAGAACGGAAGGACCGAATTCAGATGAATTATATACCATCCTTGCAGTTTTTCACGGTGATTCCGAATATATATATATCATGTAGGAAAAAATATTTTTTGAGTGCGAAAAGGTCACTTTACCTCAAAAACCGAGGGATTTTGGAAAACCAATATCTCAATCCAAGAAAATATGCGCACTTTTGCACATTCACCATAGATGCATCGCCTCGCGAGAAACATTTTGGTATAAAAATATGTTAGTTCAGATCTGCGCTAAACCTTTACAGCCTAGACCGTTTTCGAAAGAATCCATTCCAAAACTCTTAAGTTTCACACGAAAAACAAAATTCTTTTTTATTTCGTATTCTTTTGACTGTATTCTTCCCGAATATGATCTCGATTCTATTCTAGTTTACTATCCTTCAATAAAAATCGAAATTTTCCGAAAAAATAGCGCATTTACATGATGTTTTTGCGTTTCAAATCTTTTATAGAAGGAAAAGTCGTAAAATAAAAATTCTTTCCTTTTCCACCTGAATGCCCACTGTGTAGTGGTGGTTAGAGATGCTAATTTTATGTTGTATTCATTTATGTCGTCATTTAACTCTATAACTGAGGCTTTCAAACCACAAATATTCATCGATGATACAGTAATTAAAGCTAATTTTGTATTTGGATAGGATTTTCCAAATGTTGAGATCAAAAGTTTTGTTTTATCCAGGACATTACTCGGTTTGTCATATTTCAGATTGGTTGATCCAACACAAACAATGAAACGAGGCGACGGTTTGAAGTGTTTTTTCTTGATAAACTCAGTCATTCTCTCGATCCCGGCTCCGCGTTTCGTATAAACATGATATCGAAACGACTTATCTGCGAAATCGATTGTGCCATTTCGGAGACCTTGAACAATGCTCGAACCAGCTACTGTCACTAATTCAAACTGCTTTGCTCTCTTAACTAATTTATTGTGTTGAACAGTAAGAGACGAATCATTTTCGTTAGGTTGATCTAATGATTTGTGAAGACTGGATGACGAAGAGCGAGGAAAAGTTTTTCTGTGTTGAACTGGTGTGGATGACGAAGTGAGATGAGTACGACTAGATCCAATCGGATTATCCATTTGTGATAAGATTTGACTCAAAATTTGTGGCGGTACCGCCGACTCAGACGAAGATACAAGAGCAGGACAGACAGAGACGTCTTGAGAGCAGATACTTTTTACTAGGAGATCATGTTGTTCAAGTATCATTTTTATCATCTGTTTCAATTGATCACGACTAACAGAGACATCTCCCGAATTCGATGAACTGTCCATTGATGATTCATTTGAATAGTTATCTATCTGGTGCGATAACTTTTCTATCACCTTGATATATTCATCATTGGTTAAGTGTGGCAATCATCAAGTGTTTTTGTAAGAGAATTCAAATACGTACGAATGATCAAATGCGACAGTACTCGAAAAATGATACGATGATCACTGCACTTTAATAGAACATGTTTAGAGAGAGCTGTAGCATAATGAATCTTGAAATCAGGGGGTCTCACATTCGGTGACTCATGGGGGACATAACAAAGGACTGTTATGGTGATTCCTTTGTTCTGTTCCCCATGAGCCACCGAATGTGAGACTCCTGCTTAAAATATTAATTCTAAAAAATATATATTTCCACCTCATAAACAATATTCAGTCAGCAGTGATCACTCTCTTTTGTCGAATATTTACAAGATATTCATGAGCATTCTGATGATTTGAGTCAGAAATTTTTGTATAATAATCTTGTTACAGACACATACACACATTCATTTTTATCATTTTTTTTCTCTCAACTCATCCCAATGGAAAAGATAGTTCAATCATATGCCGTCGATTATTGCTTATATATATAGAGAGATAGATCTATCTTTTTTTTCTTCTAAATATTCAAAATCAACTTCTGCCCAACATTAATGATATAGTAAATTTGATCATCATCGAATGTTAATAGAAAAAAATGATTAATTATTCTCATGTGACTCCATTCTCATTAACTATTAAATAATAATTGTTAACCAGAAAAAAAAGGAGTTTGTTCTTTTTTTTTTCTCTAGCAGAGAGAAATTCTAATGGGGATTGAATTGGGGATGAAACGATCAACGAACAGAATATTTTTGATATAAAAGAACAGATTTTAGTGCTTTTGAACTAAATTGTCATATTACGGGAATGAAAAAAGAAGAAGAAAAACGCATACACGCATACACATCTATATGAAATTGATTTCCAATACAAATACATTGGACACAAATTATTCATGGATAAAATGCCATACTGTTTAAACGATTATTACTCTCGTTCAAATAAACATGGAATCATTCATACATAAAAAACAAAAATATAATGGACAAGATGAAATCAAGGACAACCATGGTGAAAGATGGGAGAAAAAAAGAAGAGTTGATCATAGTATAGGTAAGTGGTGTAATGCGATTTTTTTTGAAAAAAATATTCCTACAAGATTTCTTTACGATAGTATAGTCAAGCAGTGGATATGTAAAAGGGTTGAAATAGGAGAAAGAAATATGAGAGCGACCTTTCTTATATTAAAAATAATTCGAAGAAAATGTGGCAAATTGGTAAAAAGATGGACAACGTCCACTACTTTGCAAGAGATACATGTTGCAAAGTTATCCATCAAGTTTTTTCTGACTTTCATTTGAGATATATTCTTTCGACTATAGATTATTCATGGTTGTTTTATTGATAGATAATCATTTCAAATACTTTTTTATTTTTTCAGATGATATTTTAGTATTTAAAAAACCACTGCTGCAGAATACGACTGCTTTAACCTCATCTATTCAAACTGAACAGTCCATTCATCATAATCAAAAGAATGACGATACAGAATCATCTTGCAATAGTTTACCCTTTGGTATAGCGACAGTACTTCAACAACAAACGAATCCAAAGTCTCAATTGAAAAAGTCTTTCTATTCAACCCAAGGTCAGTTAATATCATCACAAGTTCAATCAGTTACAAGAGGGGAGACCTCAACACGATCAACTCCGGAAATCGACAATCCCTGGCTACCGTATTATCTATCGACGATCTCTCCTATGAATATGGTGACAAATTGGTGTGCAAAATGTTCAGTTCAGTTTCGAATGACTAGTGATCTCGTTAACCATATTCGAATGCAACATGGACGTCATAAACAAGAAAATACTACGGAGGGGACTAATCGAAAACAAGGAAAATTAATATGTCAAATATGTTTTGAAACATTTCGTGAAAGACATCATCTTACGAGACATATGACGTCGCATAGGTAATTTTAAAAGATTTTTTGCTCATCAGATATATCTAGAGTTAATTTTTAGTTTGTTACTCGAGAGAAATTATTGTAATTCTGAAAACATACTTTTATTGTGTTTAAACGAAAGAAAAAGTGAAGAATTTTTTCAGAAAGACAACTAAAAAAACTAGTGAATTTTATGAACAAAAGAGCGGACGTTGTCTGATGCATCGAAATTAGCTATTTTTTGAGTTTGAAACAGCTATATCTTATTGAGAAAAATGTGCTATAAAATACTGGTGTCAAAAACGTTTTTCTTTTTCCTGCAAAAAAACTATAAGGAAAACAAAATTTCGTAGAGAAATTTCATAACGATAGTAGTAGCCACGACGATTAGACAACAAAAGAGAGATAAGTTAAAGAATAGATACGATGCAGGACTGCTTAAATGTCTACACAGATAGATCTGCGAAGAAAGATATCGTCTTGGAGGTATAATGGCTATTTTCTTCTAATCAAATTTCATCATCCTTCGTTTTACGGAAGCGATTGCAATCTTTTTTCCTTTGTTTAATAACTTCATTTATTTATCTGAGTTAAATAAGTTGAGAAAAGAAAATACTTACATTTATTACTAAAATTCAAATGTTAAAATAAAAAAGTAAGAAAAGTTAAAAAATGAGAGAAAAATCACTAAATTAAACGAATATTGATTTATCGAAGAGTTTTTTTCATAATTTCTTTTGTTAAAATCGTTTAAAATAAACAATCTATCAGTAATTTAAATGTGAAATGTTGCTTATAATCAACTTCAACGTCTGTTTAATCACAAATAATATTGTAATATGTTAACAAAATAGTTCTATGTCGAACACATTGACTTGATAAATAAAAATCACACGCCATCCAATATTTGTAATCGTATGATGGATAACAGTGTTCGATCGAGCACTTGTCAATTAATCTTGAGTGAAAAATAGTGCACAAAAATGAATTTTAAGTACTATATCTAACAGTTATGTCAAGCATTATAATATGATCTTTAACTTGTATACAAACGATCTAATATTAGTACTTTGTATAAAAAAAAAACATCCATCATTGAAGAAGTTAAATGAGTCATATTTGAAAATATTTAATCAAAACATGACGTCAAATCATTTATGCTTTATTAGTTTGTACAATATTGAACGAGCAAATAATACGAATAATTTTAAAAAATTACTTGCTGATTCTTTTCAATTAAACTTGTCTGCAGATCAAGCGATTATTGACACATACACTCAATTTAACCATAAGATAGATACAAATGATTGCTAAAACATATCTCATCAATAGACACTTGCAAATAATCTAGATACATGATTTGCTCGGATGGAACCGATAGATGTGGAACAGAGACTAAACTTCATCGACGTCGCTGTTCAACATTTAGAAAGCAATGTCAAACATTTCATTAGCGTGTTATTCTTTTTTCTTTATTTTGTTATATAATCGTACGCTCAAACTAGTCAGATATTCAATATTTGTTCTTATCCAAAGTTATTTTCTATAATAGTAAAAGTCACTCGTCTAACCAGTACTCACTCAGCAGAACGTAAGATAAATTCGCTTCTCTTTAACAACATAAAAAAAAGGAGTTTGGTTCAAATTAAAATTGTGCATGATAGGAAAGGGTTCTTGCTCATTGATTTCTAATAAATATTTTTTCTAGTCGTGTAACATCGCTCAATACAAAATTAGCTGTAAGAGAAAAAAGCTATTAAGGTTATTATTAGAGCCCTGCAGGTTACGACTTTTTGACAACCTATAACCTAACCTATAAAAGTCTTCAAAACCTAAAAGACCTAACCTAACCTACCAAACTCGTAACATAAACCTAACCTAACCTATTAATGTTTTTCACCGCCTAATCTAGGTTAAATTAATATAACTTATGTAATTTTTTCTCAAAACCTGGTTTCAGAAGCCTAAACTTCAGTTTTGTCCCAGATTGTTATTGTTTCGTATCTAAACAACGTCTGATGGCTTATACAAAATAAATCACATTTTAAATGAATAAAGAAATGAATCGGTTGAATCATTTATTCTTTAATGCAACATTTAGAAAATAGCTTTCTGAGTAGGACGACAGTATGCATCCAGGTGGACATTTAGCCAAAATTTCGAAAGTGCGTATTTTTAAGATTTCAATGTGGATAAATATACTTCAATAGATGGACTATCTGGTGGCGTTAAAAGTTTTATTGCAACTGCTAAGGTCCTTCGAAAAATCCCTGATACAAAACGGATCTAAAAAGTATTTTTAAACGTACACGAGGTCCTTTCTTTTTACTCTTTTTTCCGCTCTGCCACAATTGGTCAAAATATGTGTTAGTTTAGATTGTTTTGAATTTTCATTCAATGCTTGTACTGACGTTGATGCGGTAGAATCGAAATATCTATTGTAAATAAATTACAAATTGAAATAAAATGAATTTAGTTGCAAACAAAATTGAAACATTTATAGTAAAAGTCCTACCATTTACCCAACAAAGTTCTGAATCTAGATACTTTTAACTATACAATAGTGGAAAATTTTCTCAATTTGGACTTGAACTGTTGGAGAAAGAAAATTAACATTTCAAGCTAACAATGTTTCCGTACGGCTATCTTCAATATACTGAGCGCCTTCTCTTGCCTCTATCTTCAAAATCGCTCAAACTTTGTCAAAATATTTATCTACATATACTGCATCTATTACTCTTGCGAATATTTTTGCCCCAAAACCCTTTTTTTCCTCTGACGTGGGAAAATGGGAAAAATACACACTGGGGGATACGTTCTTAGGGGTCAATCAGAATTTTACTTTAGGCTCTTGACGCTACGAAAGTTCTGTTATTGTTGTGTGTTTACCATGTATTTTTAGAAACATAAATTTTTTCTCAGTACTTCCTTTTTTCATTGTGCCATTTTTCAGTTTAAAAATAGTTCAGTTTATACTAGAGAATCTCAGTCTTAAACGGCTTCAGAATTGCATCCGATCATCAGTGCAAGTAAAAGTTGATGCGATTAGAACTAAGTGGAAGTGTGAGTAAGTCCCAGCTCGCAGCATCGCTTTATTACTCAAAGTATTGGCAATTTTAATGTGGTCGTTCAAAATCGTTTTTTTTCATTTAGGTTAAAAATGGATTATCAATGCCGTAACCTACAACCTAACCTATAAAAAATTTCATAACCTAAACCTAACCTGTAAAAACTGTAACCTAAACCTAACTTATAGGTTAGGTTTAACCTGCAGAACCCTAGTTAGTATGTCATGATGGAAAGGAGAAAATCACTTCTTCGAACAAAATTTTGTACACATTACGTTTCTAATTAAATTCTTGCAGAATTTTCATTCTGACTTTTTATGTATAGCAAGATGGTTATGTAATTTTGACATGAGAAAAGTCAGCTGCGTTTAAAGTGTCGTTAAAGAACTTGTATAAAAGCAGAGACTATCAGAAATAAAATGAAAAGATGAAATGTACATGAACATGAAGTTAAGCTATTCATTCATTTTATTCATAATTTTTGAAGTTAAATGTTATCTCATTACATCGACAATCATACCAAAAGTAATTAATACATTTGAAGTACGAAATCCCGGTTTCACATCACTGTTCAGAACATGGAATTTGAATACAACTAGTTGGAGTTTTTATATATCTTCCTTCAATGCCATACCATTCACAACTGACATGGTTTCTTATGTACCAAACATTCAATATGATCTTACTATATCGATTGTGCCAACAGTCATTACAGAAAATATCATATGGCCAAATGGTATTATATCAGCAGATGACAGAATCTTTGGAAAACCATATTCAATTATAGTAGCTAGTGGTTTTTTGGTTCCAGGCAAAACGAATGGAAATTTGTACTTTATTCCGCCTCCATTCACCACTAAACCAATTCCACTTGTGCCGATTGAAGCGAAATCATGGTTTTATCACGATGCTACTTTCAGAGACATGGATTTGGATGGTTATGTTGATATTGTTACGGCTCGAGCACATGTGCCTATTGTTGGATCAGCTGTTGGTGAACTAATATGGTTGAAAAATCCAGGACAAAATTTTAGTCAAAATGATTGGTCAATAAACTACATAGCTGATGGTCCCGATATCCATGTTAAATTTACTCAACTAACTGTTGGTGAACGACGATATGATGTTCTATTCACACATAGTTATTTTAATCAAAAATTACAAATATATTGGAGTGAAGAGGAACATGGTAGTTGGAATGATTCGACGAAGATATCAAAACGTGATATTGATGGAGATCAAGGATTTTTTGACATAACATTAACCGATTTGAATGGTGATTCACACGTCGAATTATTAGTTCCTTGTAATGATGTTAAAAATGGTTCACTTGTTGTTTATGAAATACCCACAGAAGATTTTCGTACAGGAGAATTTGTTAAACATGTATTAGCTTCAAATTTTAAACCCATAAGTCAAACAAAAGGCCGTGGCGCACCTGGTAGTGCACTTATAGTAAAAATGAATAATCAACATAAACCTGTTATCGCTTTGAGTGGTGATGATGATGGTTGTGCGTACATTTTAGAAGCACAAAGTGAAGATGTATCAGATTGGAATTATACGTTGACGAAATTTCATCAAGTCGAATCGACTGTAGGACAACTAAGTGGTGAAGATATCGATAACGATGGAAATCCAGAAATATTTGTGCCCTCGTATGGGCAAGGTCAAATGACAATTTACAGATTTTTGCGGGAATAATCAATAGACAAATTTAAATTTCCTTTTTCTTAACAATAATACCGGCTGGTAATTGTTAAACAATACAAAACTTGAGTTTAATAAACAAAATAATTAGATTAAGTAAAAGATGTGTAACTTAAATATGATTCAAGTTTACAAATCATTTCTGTTAAGAAAAGGAGATTCAGATGGTCTGATCAGAGAATCAAGATGCTGTACAGACACTCGGTAACTGTTTTTTTCACATTTCAGAACCTACTTTTTCGGGAGGGCTTTCTGTTTCTGATCAAAATATTTTCTAAGAACTGGTCAGGAAAGCAGACTACTGAGCAGAAACACAGAGACTATTCTTCTCACACTTTCAAGTCATTTGAAACACTTACTAGCGTATAACTGCCATCTCTGATTAAATGTCGAGATATCTGGTTGATAACGTGTAATGAAAGTGGACACGTTCTATTCAAAAGTAAATTAGTGACAATTACTACCTTCCGAAAACAACTATAGTTTTCGAAAGGGTTTCAGATTAAATTTAATAAAAAGAACGTTTATAGCCTTCTCAGAACCGGAAGAATACGTGACTAGGCCTTGGTCTCTTTTTCATAGTTAGAACTAGTAATACGTTTTTATCTATTTAATACATATATATATATATATGTATATATATATATAATATCAAAATACTTCTTTTGTATTTTCTTCTCATATATAATAACATGCATGCATAGAAACAGAGAGACAGTAGCTAGATACATTTATAATAATAAACACAAAAAACGCCGTTATAAATTGCACACTTTCTGTTACTCTCACAGACAATAACATACAAATACAAACTCGCACACATACACACACTGACGCACACTGCGCTGTTTTTAAAAGATATAAAAAACAAAATGAAATAACAAAAACAACGTGTGAAAAAAACTAGAATATTATGTGAGAGGAAAAAAAAACACGACAAAGACAGTAGAACAGTAATATAGAAGAGTAAAAACCAAGTTCCGAAAGACTTGTGTGTGTATGTGTAATATTATTATTTAAAAAAAAAACTAAGATAGGAATGATAAGCCTATAAAAGACAAAAACAAACAAAATGTAATGTACACTTTATTTTATATCCTGTTCTTCATGCTAAATAACCATAACTAAATAAACCATTCTGATGTGCTACTTGTGCCGGATGAACCGCTGATGGGTCGAAAAGAAATGGTGCCGAAAATGTAAAACCGGCTGGTAATTGATGTTGTGGATGATGAAGATTAACTTGTTGTGGTGCATGTTGTTGCGGTAAAAGAATTTGAGTTTGATGTTGTTGATGTTGTTGAGATGGAAATAATGGAAGTTGCGATGGATGTGGTTGTTGTTGAAACATTGAGGGATGAAAAGCAACTGGCATAAATTGAGCAGTCTAAATAGAGAAAAAAAATCGAAGCTTATTTGTTGGAATGTAAGACACAGATGGACAGGCAGACAAATAGAACAAAAATAAAATAGAACTCAAATTTGCAAAAAAAGAGATGTCCTAATCAACGTGCAAATTTTCTGAGAGATAAACTTTTTAAAGATGTATTTTCATCATTAACAGAGCTAGTAGACAACATTCATAGCAATTTAAACACCAATAATCACAATTACATAATCAAAAACGGGAACATATTTCATGCAAAGAAATTTACTCTAATTATTTAGACCGTCGAATAACACTTAATCATAAGAACGTCAGTTTACCATCAGGTCATATGCGTAACGCAAGAAAGAAGATATTTTGGGAACTGACATCAACAATTATGATAAAGCTATTGCTTTCTGTACGTTCTCTATATGAGGTTAAAATATGGATTTCTTTTTTTAAATTATATGGATTTTTTTTATGCGTAGAGACGTTTATGAATGTATATGATGTCTGGGTCAGAATATTAAGTTCTCTAACCACCCATCGTTTTTCCTTCTAAAAAGAGCAAAAAACTAAATATGTCAAAGAAGCTCAATATTTATGATATTCTCAATTTTTTGTACCATAATAATCATATCACAATAATGCAAAAATCAATAGAGAAGATTTATAATTATTTACAGATAAATTTATAAATAAAGCAACTTTATTATTAATAATATTTTCAAGATGATTATACCGCGTTTATGCACAATTACAAAACAACAACGCCATCATTGTTATTATCATTGATTAACTTTTTCTTGAATAATTGATCATTCTTTTTTTTATTTTATTTTATCCGAATTGTCAGGAAAGTAAGTCCTTACGGCGTTTGTGTTTTATGCTGCCGCACACAAAATAATGGTAGAACACTGGCTTTTGAACTGAAAGATATGCCAGAATACAAATTGTGAAAATGTCACCTTTTCTCAATCACTAGTACAGTATAGAATAGAAGTTAAGATCGAATATAGATGTATACGTACAAATAATATTTTAGGATTTATTTTTACCTCGTCGGTATTACATAATCTACTGCTTGCAATAGCAATAGTTGATGGGTACACTGAATTAGGTGATGGTGAAATAATTGTAGGATTAGCGGCAACAAAAGAAGATGTACTAGCAGCAACATTTGCATTTGTCATGGAGGCGGTATCAGGAATGGTTTGTAATATTGTGGCTGATAATTGTTGTTGGCCACAACCATTCAAATTAGCAGCTGATGAAGATGAACAATATAATGCATCATGTGCCTCTTTATATAAATCTTCAAGACATTTTTCCTAAAATGAGCGATTAGCCATGCATTTTTTTCGTTGTTATATAGTAAATAAAAATATAAACAGAATGGAAAAATACAAATAGTAAAATAAGAACTCTAACGATGAACTTGAGAAACTATTGCAGATAAATGTCGCACGAAGTGGATATCTCATTGAGGTACTAAACATTTTTGGAGACACACTGTTCTCTTTCTCTCTCAACTTCTGTTTTTATAAAAACGATAGAATATAATTCTTGTCTTCGTTAAATGAATACCAACGCCAGAGTTCTTATCCGCCTTTAATAATTCAGCGTCTCGATTTGAATTTTACGAAACATTGAGGAGGAAATGTATTTGTTATGTTGAAAAAAATGCATGGCTCATCTCATTTTCCTTTATAGCACTCAGAAAGCAAATTAATTTACTGAGTGATATCCAATTTTTTTTATTTACGTTGAATAATTATGATACAAGTTGATTTCGTTTAGTAGCAAATCGAAACGCTGATTTTAGTCAACAAAAACAAAAACGGTTGTTGCATAATAATTAATCTGATATTTTGCAAAATATGCAAGCAAAATAGAAAGACAACAACAACAACAACAAAATGTTTAATTCTCCACAGCGCTTGTTATTCAAAATAATAATTGCATGCATACACAGTCTGTCATGCAATTCAGAGTGTGCAGAATAAAAAAACACATGAAACACTATTACAATCGTTGTTGTTGTTGTTTATCGTTTTATAAAAAATACTACTCAAGTAGAAAATGTTTCAACTTACATCAGCTGGATTTCTTCTCGATGATGGCCTTAATATAGCATAATAGGCTCCTCGATGTGGTTGTAGTGTTGAGGACGATGACGAATTTTGTCTTAATGTCGTCGATGTTCTTGGACTAGATGTTGTTACTTGACTATTTACACCGTTTGTTAGCAAAGTTGTGCTATTACTACTATTTGTTCCAGTGATAGTTGACGGATTTGCAGATATCATACGACCAGTGGCATTTAAACAACGTCGAATATTTCTAAACAAAAGAGTAATCACCTTCAGTACCGAGCCGAAAACTGAAAAGAGGAGGCAACAGGTCGTTCTATCAATACCCTTGAGTAGCTAGCTGCTTAACTTAAGTTGTGGATTAACCTAGCGTAAGTATAAACTTGTCTTAACTCCGTGCTTACATTGAGCACTACTGTCAACGAAGAAACAGTTACTTAAACTTTTTGTATCAATATCCATGTTAAGTACACGCTTAATTCAAGCTTTTTAGACGACTTTCAGGTAGAGGTCTGCTGGACGGTTTGAATCCCGCGGGACTTTTTACGGGACCGGACCCAGAAAAAATCTTTTTTATGGAACCAGGACCCAGAGGTCTGCGGGATGATCCCAGCCCTTCGGGGTGCTCCTGCTCCCGTAGGACTTTTAATGCGACCAGGACCAGGTTTTTTGAAAATAGTCTTGTATGAAGCATAAAAATTTCTTAGTTTCTGTGCTTGTTTGTATGTAGGCACTAGTTCTGCGAGAAAGAATTCATAGAAAATTCTGAAAGTCTTCAATTAATACCATCCACGCATGCCGTTCCACGAGCCACATTATAAAGCACTGGCTTCCAAACTATCAGCGCTATTTTGAAAAAATATTTACGGGACCGAGACCAAAAACGAGTTCTTTCTGCGGGACCGGGACCAAAAAGTTTGGTCCCGCAGGCCTCTACTTTCAGGATTGTGTATATTAATAATTTACTTTTGTTGCATAGCGTTAACGGCTGCTGTTAATGCAGCATTGGCTGCTGCTGTTTGTGCTTGCATCGGTGGTGATACAGGTATTGCTGATGCAAAATAAGGTATAGCTGTATAAGGTCCAATATCGATTGTCGGAGTTGTTCCAGTTAATCCAAACGTCGCCGCTGCTAACGTTGCTGGAGAAACACCACGAGTGTAACGAAAATATTGATTTTTATCAACCGGTTTAGCTAATGTTATTTCAACGATGGATCCATCTAAATCAGCACCTATAAACACAAAAAATAATATAATAAAAAAAATAATCAAAGAGAGAAGTAACAGTACCATTCATAATATGCATTGCATGTAAAGCATCGTCTCGTTCTTTAAAGTGCACAAAACAATAATCTTTTAATTTTTTAACACGTTCGACGGAACCTTCTTTAATTTTTTCAAATACATCTTTTATTTGTTCTTCACTTGTTGTCATCATCAGATTTCGAACATATAGTACACGAACCTTTAATAATGAATAATGCTCTATTAAAATTTAAAGAATAGTTGCCTGTCTATGTGAATATTTTAAACTCAAACTTAACATCGTAATTCTTTTGCGTATACATAATAAAAATAATTTAAAGCATCTATTTTCTCTTACTGTTGCCATAACATCTTCGTCGACTTCTGCTTCTGGTTCAGCCCAATCTACCGCAATTTGATGTCCCCATAATTGAATTTTTCCCGGTAATAATTTTCGTCGTGCCATTGCAGCTGAACGATGACTTTCATATTCAACAAATGCAAAACCTAAAATTGAAAAAAACAACCAAATGATTTTAAATTTCTTGTACAATCTGTTCCATCTAATCATTCTAACTCCATCAAGTATTCGATAAGCTAACCTCTATTTTTTGTTTTATCATGAGCACTTGGATAGACAATAACATCAACAACACCATCAGTGACTTTGCACATTTCATCTAATATTTCTTCTTTCTTTTTAGTTTTTGGTATTCCACCCACAAATAACCGACAATTATCAACTGATTGACAAACTCCAATTAATCTTCCTTTTCTTATTTCAAAGTTATTTAATTCTTTAACAGCACGTTTTGCATCTTCTCGGTCTGTAAATGTTATAAATGCATAACCTCGATTAAATCCACTGAAATCCATCTGAAAATATATTTAAATATATTATCAATTATCAATTAACCTTTGAAAAGTGAAATAATTTACCATTAAACGCATTTCATATATTTGTCCGATTCGTTCAAAGATTGGAAATAATTCAGATTCAAAACAATCACGAGGTAATTTACCAACGAATACTTCACATCCACGACTCGGTGGTAATTTTGTTGTAGGCCAAGCTAAATAGAAGAAAAAAAATTGAAAATACACATAGAGTAATGAGAATTTACTAATTCTTACTTGGTGGTGGGCCAGTTTTTCTTTGACCATTTTCTTGTCGAACGGGATATCCGTTTTCGATATTTGTACTAACTATCGGTTGTTGATCAATTATAGTTGAGCTCTCATTGGACGGGGAACAACAAGGATTAACGGTAGGAAGATTGATGTCTTGATTTTGATGATCCATTTTATAATAAGCTAAAATAGAGAAGAAAAACAAAAACAAGAAAAATAAATGTTAAATAAAATGACAGAAAAAAAATGAGAGAGCACTTATTACTCAAATCTTCATCCTAACTTGGATTTTAAAATCAGACTAAATAAATGTGTCTAAGAAATCAAAGACAGTGGTCAGAAGATTACACTGAAGAATCAGATCTGTGCAACTGTGGAGTTCTGTCAGATATTGTGCTAAAATATCTTACACTGGATAGAGAATCTAAAAATGATTATCTTTTACTATTTTGTCACATTTTCAGTCATTGTTCTACAATTATTTGACCAAATGCTAATAATCTTTCACTTAGTTCATCTTTTATATCTAAAACATCTAATATTACCATTTTAAAACAATTGTTGTGTGCAAAGTTCTGCATGGTACACTTTAGAAAACTATATAAATTCTATTTTTAGAAAAAAAAAATAAGCAAGATATCTGTTCATTGTGCGGTAATGACCTTGAAACAATGTTTTTATTTAAGTCTAGCATTTTGTTATTTTTTTTTATAGCTAAATTGATTTATTCATTTTCTTCTTTCTTACAAATGTGCTGGGCGAGTGTAATGCATAACTGGTTGATCAATAAAAAACTTTTTTCTATACGTTTTGTTATATTAACTACTTATTGAAAATGAAAAAACACAATTTTAAATCATTATCATTTTTTTAATCCACAATATTAAGTGAAAAAAACACAAACGTCGTGCCATATGGTTAGATATTTTCTCTTTATTTGCTGCATATAAGAGATTATAAATGAGAATAAAAAAATGAGTAGAGGAAAGGTAGTGTATAAAACAACTAAAAAAAAACTCATTTTTTGTTTTTTTCTTCAAAATACTCTGTGAAAAACGAAAAGATATTTCTCGATTAATATAGTTATCACACAAAGACACGCGAACATAGTGAAGAGAAGAATATTATAGTTGCAAGATCAGAATACTCTGCAGTGACCCAAGTCAAAAACTCACGATCGTATACTATAGTATTTCGTTGTATTTTGATGTAAACCCGATTAACGTATTACATCAATCGTAAACCATGTTGTTTACGCTAAAATAGACAAAATACAACAGTCGTAACTGCTGACGTAATACATTGACCGGATTTACCACAAAATACGACAAAATACTAAATACTACTAAATTACAACGACGTAATTTGACGTATACGACGATCGTAATCATGGTCCTGGGAAAACATATTTTCTAAAATCGGATTATGGACGACGTCGTCGTTTTTATCCTTGACATCCAAAAGTCACTTGTCTGATGTGGACAGAACGTACATACACTGTATGATTAATGTTGTCAGAAACAAAACGTTTCCGTACTGTAAACTTTTCTCTTCCGTCATCTTTTTTTTTGAAAACTTTATGATTTTGTCGTACTCCGAAATTAAGCCTTAGTCGTCGTAGCATAATAAACCTGAAACATTTTGACTGATGTTTCAAAAATGTGTGAAAAAGGTTACAATTTAGAAACTGTTCTTTTTTTCTATGATAACTATGAGTGATACCAGGAAGAATAATTTCAATTTCTCCATTGGCAATGATAATTCTATTAGATTCTGTCTTCTCTTCCCCTTCTGCCTAACTTCTTTCTAACTTTCATTTTCACTCTTGTACTAATCACAACATTCTTTTTGGATCCAAAAATTGAAACAACGAAATAGTTTGAGAGTACTTGAAAATCGATAAGAGAATAAACTACAAAAAGATATAGGCCGATAGAAAGGTAACTAGAATACACAAACGTTTTCAATTAAAAGAAATAAGAATTAGAAAGAAGAAAAAAAAAGCGAGTGTATAAACAATTTTACCAAGTATCTTTCTGTAAGTGTGTAACAAAAAGGTAAATAATAATAGGAAAAAGATACGACTGATAATCTAGCAATCAGTTGATAACGGAAATCAGTAGATAACATTGGTAAATAGACTTCTTTATATCAATGTCTGTTATCGATTTTGTTACTTGCAAAGCAACAAAATTTTTTTGTCACTTCAATATAATGATGGAAAGAATGATGGAAAGTTAACACTTTCACAGAAAATATTAATAAAACAAAACTATTGTGATTCTGTTGTATAAACAGTAAGATTGAAAAACAGTTAATTTATATTACATTCTAAAAGTGCGCATAACGAACTTTCTAAGCTCGTGAGCTTTCTTCATGTTTATCAATATTATATTAGAACTTACTGTTGTTTTCCATACTAATTCTGTCTACTGATCATTTGCTACACATTTTCTTTCCACGGTGAACACAATGATTAAAAATACATATCTATCGGAAAGAAATTTCATTTGTTCTCCTCTTTCCTCTCTTTATATGTACGATCATCGCGAACAGGTTGATGAAGTTCAGTTTTTTCTTCTTTCGTCCTTTCATCTCAATTTATGCATATATATATATATAGAGAGAGAGAGAGAGGGAGACAGAAAGAGAGAGAGAGAGTGAGGGAGAGAAAGAGAGGAAGAGAGAATCCGATAAGGAAAATATGCACGTATAAGGGAGAAATCAAATGATGTATGAAATCAAAAATCATGATTGAAAATGGAAAAAATGAACTAGAAATAAATTTATCAAAAAAAATAAAATAAATGGGTAATTCGTGCCACCTGTCTAAAGCTCATCTTTCAATTTTTAATAAAACTCTGAACTATTTATTCGAATTTCGAACAGAACTGAAAATCTATTGAATTAGAGATGTTGAAAATCTACCTGATTAAACTATAAAACTATCCAAAACAAAGTGTTTATCAAAAAATCAAAACGTCTGAAGAACGATTATTGTCCGAAATTTTTGAAATGAATAAAGGAGAAACAAGAAACGGTTGATTGAGAAAAATTCGATTTGTAATGCCAAAACACAAGATGCGATCGATTACGATAAAATAAGTAAAAAAAATTGTGAAACAAACGCGAAAGAGAAGCAAATCAAAAGATTAAAGTCATAAAGTTAAAATATATATCTCTTTCTATACATAAAGAGTTCAAATAACAGTTATAAATCATATCTATTGGTGTATGGTGTAACTTCTATAGAAGGTAAAACGTATTTGTCTGACACGCATAAACTTAACATGAGATTTTATTTAAAATTTTGCCAAACAAGCTTCTACAAGATATTTTACGTTTAATTTCACTTCTGCTCTTTCTTTCTCAGCGTACAAGAAATTAATCTCAGTCGGTGTATGTTTGGGTTGACGCATTGTGACTTCGTCTGTAAATAATATTGATTCTTTTCGTTAGCAAGAAGAGTTTAGTGTCCAAACGACAGGTTGCTGGCCTGACGACTAGACGAGTGGCTACCAGCAGCTCAGGGTCGCCTCCTGCGGGTGTTCACAACAACCACAGGCCCCTGTGTAGATCCAGAGATCTACCTGGCAGGCCTACACCCTACACCGGTAACGGTACGGGTCTAACTTACTTACTTACTAAATAATATATATTTCACTAAAACGAGTTGAAAATTACATAGCACGAAACTTTTTTAAAATTCTTAAGATAAACTCATCAGTATCTCAAAGAAACATTTGGTGAAGTTATCGTACTGATACAAATATTATGAATAATTTAGACAAAGTTTATGTGAGAAATGGCAACCGTTAATGCTAAATGTATTAACAGACTTTATCGGATTTGATGTGAAAACTGCAACAATTTTAAATATTTAAATAATCTAAATTACCTGCTATATTCTATTACCAATTATGCATAAACTATAACTATTAAATGTAATATGATTAAAATAATTACCCAATTAATAAAACAAAAATCTAATAAAAAAGAGAATAAATTTTAAATAATAAATTCATCTGAGACAAAAAAAAATATATTCTTTCATCATTTTCCGGTACAAGCATAGTAAAAAGCACGTTTTTTATTTATTATTATGATAGTACATCTTCATTGGTCATCATAAACAGTTAATAATATTACCTTTGTTCATGTAACATACAGAAAAAAACGAAATAGAAGTGGCCGATTCATAAAAGATGTCTACAATGGTTTATATTATATCCTTATGGTACTCTTATTTTGAACTTCAGTTTTGTACATAAAATTACTTTAATTAGAAAATTTGCTCAACAAAATCTCGTAGAAGAATGATAAACACTTGTTTTTAGTGAAAAAAACAGAGTTTTGTCAAAATAACTATACCCATTATATCAAGACGCTCTTTATTAACAATTTCAAAGTCAACAAGAAAGTCTCATTTTCTTCTTTTTGTTTTAACTTACATTGACATTTATCCATGTAAGATCTCACCTTTTTTCTTTCTCTTTCTTATTCTTCTCTGTACTTTTTGATTACAATTAAACAATCAACATCATCATCACCACAGTCAAAAAAATGAAAAGAGACTTTGATGGCGAGCACAAAGTACCTTAAATTTAAAACATTTTATATTTTATAAAAAAAGAAGAAACAAATGAAAAGATAAGAACAGTGATGTGGCATAATGTTTATTTCACGTAAAATATGTTAGCTATGCGCGCATAGAGAATAGCTCACATCTTCATCATACAGTTTTAAGAATCTAAAATGAATTTTATTATAAGGAAATAATTTCTGATTGTGAAACTTCTACGATTATAAGCTGAAGATTTTGTCAAAATCGCACACAAAGTATATAATCTGAATGAGATCAAAAAGAGTGTTCTGTGAAACATACGAGAAACAAATTTGTTAACGTTATCACTACTCACAATTGCAACAATTTGCTCTTAACTCAAAACCTACTTTGGTACATAATTCTTTCTCGCGTATTCGTTAGTGTCGAGACAAATGGGCTGCAATACAGACTTCTGGTAAGCAACTATAGATCGAAAATACTCTAAAAAACAGCAGACCAATAGAGCGTTATTTTTAATGTTACAGACTACTTCTTTCAGAAGGGGTTGTGCAGAGTCCTTTGACGGAGTTAAATTTGATGTTGCATTTACTTACATTTCTTTTTAATAACCGAATATATAAAAATAGAATAAATCGACGGAGATTACAGGAAACAGTAATAAAAAAAGACAGAGAGACTTGATTCGAACAAATTATAGATGATATATGTGTGTTTTAATTTAATTTGGTTGATCAGAAAAGAAAGAGAGAAGAAAGAAATCATCACCATAATTTAGTAGTTGTAATAACTTTGTACACTATAGGGATGGACACAATAGAAGACCTGGATTTTATATTGCGTCCTAGCGCTCATAACTTTGAAGGGGTCTTCTAAAGCGTCCGTAAAAAAAGCCGATTTTGAGCGAAGTCGCTTGATCTATAGTTCGTACTGTGTACAAAATTGTTTATTCAGTTGATGACCACTATTTGTTTTTATTCTTTTACCATTTTAATTCAGTTTATGAGTGCATCTCATATCACGTTTAAAAAAACGAACCTAAAAATCATCATATTTTGGGCCAAAAATCGATAAAAAAAGGGGATCTTCGAACGTGGTTTTTGCGTTATGAGTTCAAGAAGGGTCTTGTAACAGAGGGGTCTTCTATCGTATGGGAGTCCTCTATTGTGTCCATCTCTTTACTCATAAAAACGTGTGGGATTTATCACCGATTCAAATAGAACAGGAGAAGCTAATATTTATCACTTGAAGCTTTTGCACTGATTCTTTTTTAAAAGAGAATCCCACGTAAGCATCGATCAACTCTCGAAGCAAGAAAATTTTGATTTGATTCAGATTTTCTGTTTAGATAAGCCTGACACCGACAAAATATACCCGCATTTATTTTTGTCTCAAAATGTCTTGTTCTCAACATGGAGGTTTACTTTATTTACTAAAAACAGTAATATCTTGATAGAAAAGTATTTGTATTCAAATAAATTTGACTCCAAATTGAGATTGAGGATAAAAAATGCAAAACATTATTTTTGTTTTGAAAAAGGTTT